CGATGTCCTCTTTAATTGCCATCCAACATCTCCTCAAAACTTCAAAGGATTCGATCGGAATAAACTCACAAATTCGGCATCCCAAAAAGGTAAAAATCTAGGCAGATTCGGGATGCTGATTTTGTGGATTTATTCCGATCAAATCTTTTGGAGTTTTGGGGAGATTTTGGATGGTACTTAAAGAGGAGGTTGTGGGCTTTCCAATGGTGCCAAAATACGCGGTTTTGGTGATCGGAAGTTGTCAAAAAATTGGTGCAAAAATCCTTAAAAAAATCTGAAAATCTTGACAGATTTCCCCTTTTCGGGTCGCCAAATTTGTGGATTTATTTCGGCCAAATCTTTTGGAGTTTGAGGGAGATTTTTTTGTGGGAATTGAAGAGGACATTGTAGGCTTTCCAGTGGTATGAAAGTCCGGTGGTATTGGTAGTCGGAAGTTGCTGGAAAGTTGCCTCAAAAGTAGCCAAAAAATTCTAAAAATATTCCCAAATTTTCGCCTTTTTGGTATGCCGATTTTGTGGGTTTATTCCAGTTGAATCCTTTGGAGTTTGGGGGAGATTTTGGATGTCAATTGAAGAGGACATTGTGGACTTTTCAACGGTATCAAAATTCGGTTGTCTTGGTGGTCGAAAGTCGCCGGAAAATCGCCTCAAAATTCACTCAAAAATCAAAAAACCTTGGCAGATTTTAAGATTTTTTTGGGTGACTTTTGCGGTGATTTTCCGGTCAAATCCCTTGGAGTTACGAGGAGATTTTGGATGGTAATTGAAGAGGACGTTGTGGGCTTTGCAACGGTATCAAAATTCGACGGTATCGATTGTTGGAAGTAGCCGAAAAGTTGTCGCAAAAGCAGCCCAAAAAATTGAAAAAATGTGTTTAAATTTCAGTGACCATTTTTGAAAGCGTTCCAAAACTGAAGTGACCGTTTTGTAATTTTTCCGTAAGTTTAGTGACCATTTGTGAAATTAACCCAATATTATTTTAATGAAAAATGTGTGATTAAAAAAAGAGAGAAAAATATATTTTGATAAAAATGTTAATCAAACGGGGTCAACGTATCTATTGAAAACATAGTTCAATTGATGTGAATTTAAAATGTAGTGGAACAAAAACAAATTCTGGTAGCAATATAATCATATGTTTATTAATAGTGGATTGATATATAAGAATGGTGGATAAAAAATAAAAAGGATAAATCTATTTGTATATAATTTTATGTACATAAGGGTGTCCATACAATGTGAGTGGCCCCACCCTTATGTATATAACACCGAGCACATCCCAAATAAAAAATAGTTGCTCGGTTATTTTATTGAAAAGACATTTTAATGAAAATAAATTCAAGAAAAAAAATGAAATTTAAATAATTTTTGGGAAAAAAAAACTATTTGTAAATTTTATTTGACACCGGGTTTGACATTATGCCACGTGCAATGGCATGATTAAACAGTTTTAAAAAACTACATGCTTTATTAAAAAAAATGAAAAAAAAAATGAAAAGGAGCCTAGTTCATTATCATGCTTTAAATCCCTAAATTTTCAATGTTCTCACTGGAACTCGTCCTTAATTCACTTGGAATTTTGACTAGTGGCTGTGACTCATAGTTTTCCAAACACAACGGCCGGAAAATTGGATTCCTTTTTCTACGGATCATCACCATTGACATGGTATCTCTATTTCTTATATCCTATCTGTTTAGTTGCTCCTTAATCAACATTTATGAACTGTAGCACTAGAGGAATTGTAAGCGTGATCACCGTAAGACTCTTGATTACATCCTTTAAGTTGATTTGAGAGATAATTTTACTAAAATTTCTTATCAAAGGGAGTTAATGTACCGGATAAATTCAATGTATTTTCCTTTTTGATTGAATTTGTTTTTTCTTCTGGACAATATGCGGATTTATAGTCTTTAGAAACCCACAATCAGTCTTCTTGGAGCTGTGAAGATTCTGCAGATCCACTGACTTCAACCTGGATTCTCATGTTGAGTGCTGTAACTCTTGATAACGAAATACTTTACATTATTAAGCTAGCTGATTGTAAAATCTTTTTGTTTTTGCATCTCGAATCTGGCTGGAAATGCTTGAAGAGCTTGAATTCGCTTCTCTATTTGAAGTATATCATCCGTTGTATTTTAGTTGAAAGCCTTTTCAGATTTAAGTATATGTATTTCTATGAGTGGTTCTTCTTTGCTAGTTTATATAGCTCTCGTTTGCCTCCATTAAATTACATTTCATTTTTCTCTCTCATATTTTCAATCTCACAATCTTCCATAAAATAATATTACATATAAACCGCAAAATTTTCATTTTTTTCAACCACTCATTTTTCAAAAGAATACTATTCCACCCATGTTCATTTCAAAAAATGGGTGCCAAATGTGGTTATAATTTAATAATGTCATGTAAATACTAAGAGGAGCTTTCTGAATATTTCGTTCTCGTTAGGTAAGGTTATCTTCTATTGACCTCGAATTTTGTACCACCAACGTGATCAATAGATCTCAAGGTCTCCACACAAGACTCTTTTGCACACCGAAATCACGATATGTAGGATGAATTACCGACAGTTCATTATAGAGCTTTCCAACACAGAAAACACTTCTTGTTTTCAGGGAAGTTGATAAAATGGAGAGAGAAAACACAAAGAACAGTTGTAATCATCATATAAAGCAAAACAAGTAATCATAACAAATAGGCGGCTAAATATAGGAAAACATTGGATCCTTTTCACGGCTATAAAACAACCACCTGACTAATAATGGCCTGCAAACTAAGCCAGGGAAATTGATAAATTTCTATATAAAAAGTAACATAAAACTAAAATACTTGTACTTGAAAATAGTTGAAGAAATTTTCTCTTTGAAAGTTAGTTGATCCCTCCCTCTTCAGGGGGCATAGGAAATGGGGAAGAAAAACGGGATTTTTTGTTATGCAGATAGAGTCGACAAGTTTTTGATGTTCTTTGGGACATTAGGCAGCATTGGAGATGGATTGCAAATTCCTCTTATGATGTTTGTACTCAGTGCTGTCATCAATGAGTACGGAAACTTTAACAGTTCAGTCTCTATACATACTGTCGACAAGGTATAAGAATGAACTATTGGGTGTGGCTGATTTTGAAAAGCCAAAAGCAGCTTCTGAGATAAAAAGCTGCTTTAAGACCTGATGAGATAATTTTCAGAAATTTCTATCTGGTTAGAAGAACTCTTAGAAGAAGTTAACCAAAAGTGGCTTCTCTAGTAAGCTCTCCTACAAAAAATAGAAGCAGAAGCTCTTCTACTCTTTGGAGGTTGCTTGTCACTGTTAACTCAAGCATTTTTCGGAGCTGTCTTTCCCTACACACTAGGACTCGTGTTAACATGGCGGCTAGTCCTTGTGATGATGTCGGCTCAGCCCTTACTCATTGGAAGTTTTTATTCAAGGAGTATTCTGATGAAGAGTATGTCTTCAAATTGTTGAAATTGCACAAAAGGAAGGAAGCCAACTAGCAAGTGAAGCAGTCATTAACCATCAAACTATAACTGCATTTTCATCTTAGAAAAGTATAGTGGGGCTCTTTAGAGCCACACTGGAAAGCCCAAGAAAGGAGAGTATTAGACAATCCTGGTTTGCAGGAGTTTGGCTATTTAGCTCACAGTTTCTTGCAGCAGCTTTTACAGCATTAGCTTAAGGGTACGGAGGGAAGTTATTATCATTAATATCTCCGGAGCGACTTTTCCAAGACTTTCTAGCACTTCTAATCACTGCATATACCAATGCAGAAGCAGGAAGCATGACAAAAGATTTGTCAAGAGGAAGTAATGCTGTTCATTCAGTTTTTGCAATACTTGACAGCAAGAGTGAGATTGATCCAGAGAACTCATGGCAAATTCATGCAATGAAGAATGATGTCAGGGGCCATGTGGAGCTAAGAAATGTGTTCTTTGCTCATCCATCAAGAGCTGACCAGTTGATACTAAAGGGCCTCAACCTCAAAATTAGATCAAGAACCAATGTTGACTTAGTCGGCCAAAGTGTTCGGGGAAATCGACAATTATTGGACTCATTAAAAGATTTTACGATCCAGTTAAGGGATAATGTTTATTGATGATAAGAGGAGATAATGTTTATTGATGATAAGAGGAGTTCAGCTATCTCAAGGTCAGAAGGAAAGAGTAGCTTTGGGTCGTGCAATATTGAGGGACCCTACAATTCTACTGCTCGATGAAGCAACCAGTGCTCTAGATAGTGTATCAGAAAGTGTGGTTCAAGAAGCACTAGAGAAGATGATGGGTGGTTGAACGTGTGTTGTTGGGGCACATCAATTGTCTACAATACAGAAATCTAATTCCGTTCCTGTGATCAAGGACGGAAAAGTTGTCGAACAAGATTCACATTCTGATCTACTCTCAGTGGGAAATGGTGGCGCCTATTATTTGCTTGTTAAACTACAAGGTGGGAACTCTCCTTACCCGTAAAATGAAGCAGCTGGATCAAAACTAGTTGATTTCTCAGATACGTGTATCCTGTACTTAATGTCATCTGAATTCTTGTAATGTAGAGGAAATCAGTACTCTTTACACTAGCAATTCTAGTGTGCAGATTTTCTTAAGCTGGCTTGCTATGTATATCGCCCTTCAAGCATGTAAGATGTCATCTATTTACTGTAGAACAATCTACTGTCGGATTCTCAAACTTGAAATCAAATTTGGATACTAAAATTTCATCCGTATCAAGATATACTTATGAAATCCATTATATAAACAGTATTAAACTAAGCAAAAACTACCCCAATTTTTATCATGAGAATGCGCTTATTATTCCATTTTCCCATTCTTCTACAATCCAAATTGATAGCTCATCTTTTTCTTGGATATAGGCAGAAAGGTAACCTCCACACAAAAGGATTACTATATATGGGCATTCATTTCGAAAGTGTACGCTTCTAGAAAACACAGAACTATTATACTACATGTCAAGCCAACTGTAAAGCAAAAATGTATATGCCCTTCCATAACTAAATTAAAATAGTAAAATTCATGAAACTGAAGTAGCAGTACCAATACCAGAAAAAGAATTTGTAGACTCACAATAAAGCAATTAGGACAGCATAAAATAAGCAGCAGATTAGTGTAGCAGCAGTTAATACAACCATAGCCATTCGCAACAATCAAGCATGTCGAAAAGGCTGTTTCCCTGTGGAAGATGGTAATGAATTGAAATGGGAAAGGAAGGAGTATGGCTTGAATTGAAAGGAATTCATGAGGAATATGTGAACTTCTTTTTACAATACTACAACCATTTCATAAATTGTCTAACCTTCGATTAAAGTTAGAGTAAGAAATACAGAGACACAATAGAACAACAACCAAGTTTGAGGGAGACGAAATTGATGCGACAAGAACAAAAGAAGCAGAGATGAGTGGTTACATAATAAGTTCAAGTACTCAATGGAACCTGGAAATTGTTAAAGATGGGGTTGTGGATATCTGAAAATTCACTGGTTGGATAAATTGTTACAGATGGATATGCAATTATATCTAACAAAGACACAACTATTTCAAAGAACCTCAAATCATAGAAGATTCTAGCCATGAATTAACCAAACAAAATATAAGATTTATAGCAAAAAGATTAAGAAGAAAGTGAAAATAACCACCCCAAATTCCAGTCTCAGCCTATGGCTCCTCTCATGGGGTGCGTTGGACTTGAGTTTAATACCCTTCTTATTCTTTTTCTTACCGGAGTCGTCCACCGGTATTTCCCCCTTCACAATCAGATTGTGTTTCTTTGTATAAAAAAACAAGATCTTGAACTTCACTCTAGTAGCCAATCCCGCTCTAAAAGACACCGGGGACCCATTTGAAACAGCCTCAAAAGCTGCCACCCACGGCACTCCGTTAGCCTCCACCAGCGCTTTCCGGCTGGTGTGCTTACCTTGACCCTGGTAGAACCCTGGCACTGTGTAGGTGGCTATGGGAAAGCTATAATTTTGATCATAAAAAAAGGTGAAATTTATGGGATCATAGTGTACGCCTTTGTCTTTCATCCCATTATCAAGCTTGATTTCAAAGAAAATGGTGTGGTTGTTCCTGGCGGCGGTGGAATTGTCGGTTTTGTTGAGTGCAGGGACCAAAAATTGCTGTACGGAGCAAGTGGGCTTTGAGGTACGTAGACTCAGCCACATGAAGAGAGCTGTTAAGCCTGAAGTGAATATGAAGCTGCAGCAACACTTACCACATCCTCCGGCGTCGCTGCTCTCCGCCATTCTGGAAAATCTACTCGCGGTGGAGCGATATATGTGGTGGAAGTAAACAAGATCTAGCGCAGAAATTTCAAGGGAAATAGGAATGGAATCTCTTGGAGTGATGGCTTTGCAACGGCATGATCGAGTTGACTAAAAGTCTTGTTCTATATTTCAATTCAATTTTTTAATGTGGACAAATGAATTCCGTGTTTTACGTGGATCCATTACGTGTAAGATCTATAAAGGTGTAAAGCGCGACAAAGAATTGAGGTTAAACTACAAACCTTACAAGATTAGTGTGTATAGCACAATAATAATTTTTTCTATTTTTAATATCAGTTTAAGTTCAACAGGTATTAAAATTAAAATTTTAATCTAAATTCATATTTGGAGCTCGTTCTTTATCATTTTTAGAATATTTCAACCCATTACAGTCCATTGGGGCCTACCATTCAGCCTTTCATTGAGTACAAGTACATTATTTTCTAGCCATTTTCTAATTTTAACCGCCCTTTTTTATTAAAGCATTGACTGGGTCGTTGGTCGACTGGAAGTTAAAAAGAGAAAAATAAAATAACCTTTCCATGCATCATGTCGTCACTTCTTTGGGGGCTAAATCAAAGATAATGCCCCAGCTTGAGCTCCATGATTTCTCATTATATTAAGTTAAATTTTTTTTCTCTTATTTTTAATTACACAATCTTAAATAAAATAATATTACACATAAATCAAAAAAATTTCAACCACTCATTTTTCAAAAAAAAAAAACTATTCATCTCATTATAATGCCAAATAATGGGGCTCAAACACACCCAATAATTAATTTGAACCACACATTTTAAAAATTTCACAATTTTTTAACTATACATTTCATCAACTTTTATCAAATTATATTAAAAATTCGTTGTATTATAAGTCAAAAAATAAATAAAATCACAAATACCTTCAAAATTTATAGGAAGTTATCACAAAATAAGTTTCAGTAAATTATTATTGTTATTAAAAGTTTAAACAATGGTTGATCATTTCGTTGAAACCATGCGAAGACTTGGACAGACATTTTTTTTTTTTTACAGAATATAGATGTCAGTATATAATTAACAGTTAAGTAAAAATCACCTTACGAGTGTTGCGTTGTGATAAGTGTGTTTTTGCACACTTATTTAGATCACAAACATGACTTAATTACAAGCAAAATGTTTAAATTGTGACTTAATCTCGTTGAATTCATGCAATGTAGGTGTTTCTATGGAAATAATAGAATTCAGGAGAAAAGAGCCGAAAAAGAAATAAAATGGAGCAAAGTGATAGCTCAGGGACCAAAGTGAAATTATCCAAAAGATGGTCCGAAGGACAAATCAAGGAAGTGAATGAGCTAAGTACCAACTTGGTGATATTATGAGATGATGGAAATAGAAGAAACAAGCAAAAGGATCAAAATGAATCAAACGGAAAGTTCGGGGACCAAGTTGCAAATAATCCATAGGTGAGACGGGAAATGGAATGAAGATTCAAGAGTGTTAGAGGTCAATCAGATGAGGAAAGGAGTCAAAGAGGTGAAATATGATAGGAGTATTATCAAGTATCAACTTTCAGGCGAAAAAGTTACGCTCGTGATTTTTAGCCTCTACTTGAGATCCATTTTTGGCATAGTAGAAAGTCTATTTCATCAAAAGTGTAGATCTTTGAGTTTTCTGTCCAATGAACTTTGAATCACTTCAATCGGAGATCAGGAGAAAAAGTTATAATCAAAAAACTAAAAGCTGTTCGGTGAAAAGAATCACATAACTATTCGGTCACATAGTATAAACTCTATGCGGTCCCATAGAAGCCTCCTGAGAATTTTTTCTCAAAATTTTTTTACTCTATGCGACAGTATAGAAATGTACTATGTGGTCGCATAGGTATATTCTGGGGGCCGATTCTGCAGTTTCTTTATACGACCGAAACTCTTTTGATAATCTAATTTTCACGCGATATAAATACCAAAAGACGTTCAGAAAGAGGCAGAACATATTGGAGGTAGAAGAACACTTCTTGGAGAGGATTTTGAGCGCAAGAACGAAGATTTAGACGAAGAGCTTCAAGATTTCCCAAGATTTGATAACCCGGTGATGTCTTTTATCCAAAATCTGATGTATTCTTTTATTTTAACCATGTTAGGCTAGATTTTCATGTGCTAGGATTTGCGATGAACCTTATATTATGAATCCTTAATCTTGAATTTTATTTATTTGATGTTAAAACATGTTTTTTTTTTAATTATTGAATGATTGACATGGATTCTATTTTCTCTACAATTATGTGCGCAATAGTTGTATGAGATTTGTGGCTTGTTTTACCCTCGAGAGATGGAAAATAAGTTAGACATTATGTTAATTGTCGTAAAGTTCGATAGGGGATATAAATATACCGTTATACTTTACGTAATCTTTAAGTATTCATAAATCTTTAATGCATTTTTATATGCTCCCATCCATCATAGAAATATAATCGGATCGCATGTGAAAATATGTTTAATTCTATTCGAGAGAGATTGTTAAATAAATTAGGAATATTGGTCTTCATAATTGAATCGTGTTGTCAATTTTATAAAATTCGAATTAAAGGGGATTGATATAAGGTGATTCAGGATCCTAGTATGCATTTCGTTATCATATTTTTAAAAAACTTGCATTTAGTTATAATCATGCATTTAATTTAGTTAATTTAAGCTTTATATTTATAAGTGGGTTATTAAATCATAATTTAGTTATCAAAAATATCAAGAATTTCTATTGTTTCGGTCAAGGCGACGATAGATAAAATTGAACTAATCAATCTCTGTGGGACGATATTCGGACTCATTTAATCCACTTTATTACTTGTTAATGTTCCCTTACACTTGCGGTAGTTTTAAATCGAAAGAAATAATTTCGTGAACAAATTTTTGGCGCCGTTGCCGGGGATTGAATTTAATTTTATTTTATTTCTCGAGACACTAATTTGAACTTCAATTTTTATTTTGTTAGTATAATTTTTTTTTATTTTAGGTTATCATCCTTTATTTTTGTTTTAGTTATTAAAATTGTTTGAATCTCAATGCTCGTACTGATTTTGTTTCTCAGATTTGCATGCCACGATCGACTGGAGGAGAATTGACTCCAGCTGATCTTGAAATCGAGCGCACATTTCATCGACTAAAAAGAGATCACCGAGAAGCACAAGTACAAATGGTTAACGAACTAAACAATCCCATTATTCAAGCTAATGAAGGAGAGGCAATGGATGAATGAAATGAGATTCTTGGAGATTTCTTGACTCAAGTAATTCAAAGTCAATCCAGCATAGCGTATCCACCGTTTGGGCAGCCAAATTTTCAGTTGAAGACCAATGTGATACAGCTATTTCAAAATGGACACCAGTTTTATGGCAAAGCCGAAGAGAATCCACATACACACATATCTCGATTTTTGGATATGTGTCAACATTTCAGATACCAAGAAATTTCCGACGAAGCTATTAGGCTAAGGCCGTTTCCACATACGCTGCGAGACAGAGCACTTGAATGGTTGGATTCACTTCCGGTTGCAAGTATCACTACATGGAACGAGTTGGTACACAAATTCTGCACAAAATTTTTCTCCCCAGCCAAGATAGTGAAGCTAAGACATGACATATCAGTATTCAGTCAAGGAGAAACCGAATCATTTGACGAAACTTGGAACATATTCAAAAACATGCTCCGGAAGTGTCCTCAACATGGGTTTGATAAAAAGACCCAAATCCGATTCTTCTACACAGGGTTACTTCCATACCACAAGAGCATGGTGGATTTAGCGTCAGATGGCTCAATATCCACACGAACAGTTGATGGGGCATTGGAATTATTTAAGAGAATGGCTACCACATCAGCCATGTGGTCTTCTGAGAGGGCGATTCCAAGGAAAACTCCGGGTGTCTACGAGGTAGATACTTATTCAGCAATATTTGCAAAAATCGAATCTCTGTATCACAAGGTGAAAAACATATCACAAGCAGCACAAGCTAAGAAGAGCAATTGTGAGTAATGTGGAGCTGAACATAAAACATCGGAATGCCCAATACTCATGCAAGGAATTGAGCAAGCAGACTATGCATAGTGGGGATAATGCCAACAACACAATCAATATGGAGAAGCTTTCAATCACAGTTGGATGAAGCATCCCAACTTCTCTTGGAGCAATCAGAATCAAAATAGGTCACAGTGACAATTTCAACAACAAGAGAAGAGGCCTCAATTGGAAGATATGATAGGAAAATTCATGAAGAAAGCCGAAGCTCCACTTCAAAATCAAAATGCAGCGATAAAAAATTTGTAAACTCAGATGGGGCAGTTGGCCAGCTTTTACAGCATTAGCTTACAGGTACGGACGGAAGTTATTATCACAAAGTTTAATATCTCCGGAGCGACTTTTCCAAGACTTTCTAGCACTTCTAATCACTGCATATACTATTGCAGAAGCAGGAAGCCTGACAAAAGATTTGTCAAGAGGAAGTAATGCTGTTCGTTCAGTTTTTGCAATACTTGACAGAAAGAGTGAGATTGATCCAGAGAACTTATGGCAAATTGATGCAATGAAGAATGATGTCGGGGCCGTGTGGAGCTAAGAAATGTGTTCTTTGCTTATCCATCAAGAGCTGACCAGTTGATACTAAAGGGCTCAACCTCAAAATTAGATCAAGAGCCACTATTGAATTAGTTGGCCAGAGTGTTGAGGGAAATCGACAATTATTGGACTCATTAAAAGATTTTACGATCCAATTAAGGGATAATGTTTATTGATGATAAGAGGAGTTCAGCTATCTGGAGGCCAGAAAGAAAGAGTAGCTTTGGCTCGTGCAATATTGAGGGACCCTACAATCCTACTGCTGGATGAAGCAACCAGTGCTCTAGATAGTGTATCAGAAAGCATGGTTCAAGAAGCACTAGAGAAGATGATGGGTGGTCGAACATGCGTTGTTGGGGCACATCAATTGTCTGCAATACAGAAATCTAATTCCGTTCCTGTGACCAAGGACGGAAAAGTTGTCAAACAAGGTTCACACTCTGATATACTCTCCGTGGGAAATGGCCAGCGCTCATTATTTGCTTGTTAAACTACAAGGTGGGAACTCTCCTTACCAGTAAAATGAAGCAGCTGGATCTAAACTAGTTGATTTCTCAGATACGTGTATCCTGTACTTAATGTCACCTGAGTTCTTGTAATGTAGAGGAAATCAGTACTCTTTACACTAGCAATTCTAGTTTGGAGATTTTCTTAAGCTGGCTTGCTATGCATATCGCCCTTCAAGCATGTAAGATGTCATCTATTTACAGTAGAACAATCTACTGTCGGATTCCCAAACCTGAAATCAAATTTGGATACTAAAATTTCATCCATATCAAGATATACTTATGAAATCCATTATATAAACAGTATTAAACTAAGCAAAAACTACCCCAATTTTTATCATAGAATGCGCTTATTATTCCATTTTCCCATTCTTCTACAATCCAAATTGATAGCTCATCTTTTTCTTGGATATAGGCAGAAAGGTAACCTCCACACAAAAGGATTACTATATATGGGCATTCATTTCGAAAGTGTACGCTTCTAGAAAACACAGAACTATTATACTACATGTCAAGCCAACTGTAAAGCAAAAATGTATATGCCCTTCCATAACTAAATTAAAATAGTAAAATTCATGAAACTGAAGTAGCAGTACCAATACCAAAAAAAGAATTTGTAGACTCACAATAAAGCAATTAGGACAGCATAAAATAAGCAGCAGATTAGTGTAGCAGCAGTTAATACAACCACAGCCATTCGCAACAATCAAGCATGTCGAAAAGGCTGTTTCCCTGTGGATGATGGTAATGAATTGAAACGGGAAAGGAAGGAGTATGGCTTGAATTGAAAGGAATTCATGAGGAATATGTGAACTTCTTTTTACAATACTACAACCAATTCATAAATTGTCTAACCTTCGATTAAAGTTAAGAGTAAGAAATACAGAGACACAATAGAACAACAACCAAGTTAGAGGGAGACGAAATTGATGCGACAAGAACTACAGAAGCAGAGATGAGTGGTTACATAATAAGTTCAAGAACTAAATGCAACCTGGAAATTGTTAAAGATGGGGTTGTGGATATCTGAAAATTCACTGGTTGGATAAGTTGTTACAGATGGATATGCAATTATATCTAACAAAGACACAACTATTTCAAAGAACCTCAAATCATAGAAGATTCTAGCCATGAATTAACCAAACAAAATATAAGATTTATAGCAAAAAGATTAAGAAGAAAGTGAAAATAACCACCCCAAATTCCAGTCTCAGCCTATGGCTCCTCTGATGGGGTGCGTTGGACTTGAGTTTAATACCCTTCTTATTCTTTTTCTTACCGGAGTCGTCCACCGGTATTTCCCCCTTCACAATCAGATTGTGTTTCTTTGTATAAAAAGACAAGATCTTGAACTTCACTCTAGTAGCCAATCCCGCTCGAAAAGACACCGGGGACCCATTTGAAACAGCCTCAAAAGCTGCCACCCATGGCACTCCGTTAGCCTCCACCAGCGCTTTCCGGCTGGTGTGCTTACCGTGACCCTGGTAGAACCCTGGCACTGTGTAGGTGGCTATAGGAAAGCTATAATTTTGATCATAAAAAAAGGTGAAATTTATGGGATCATAGTGTACGCCTTTGTCTTTCATCCCATTATCAAGCTTGATGTCAAAGAAAATGGTGTGGTTGTTCCTGGCGGCAGTGGAATTGTCGGTTTTGTTGAGTGCAGGAACAAAAAATTGCTGTACGGAGCAAGTGGGCTTTGAGGTACGTAGACTCAGCCACATGAAGAGAGCTGTTAAGCCTGAGGTGAATATGAAGCTGCAGCAACACTTGCCACATCTTCCGGCGTCGCTGCTCTCCGCCATTCTGGAAAATCTACTCGCGGTGGAGCGATATATGTGGTGGAAGTAAACAAGATCTAGCGCAGAAATTTCAAGGGAAATAGGAATGGAATCTCTTTGAGTGATGGCTTTGCACTGTATCGAATATAGCAAGTGAAAGTCAAGCAACGGCATGATCGAGTTGACTAAAAGTCTTTCTATTATCCAATTCAATTTTTTAATGTGGACAAATGAATTCCGTGTTTTACGTGGATCCATTACGTGTGAGATTTATAAAGGTGTAAAGGCGCGACAAAGAATCGAGGTTAAACTACAAACCTTACAAGATTAGTTTGTATAACACAATAATAGTTTTTTCAATTTTTAATATCAGTTTTAAGTTCAACAGGGATTAAAATTCTTTATCATTTTTAGAATATTTCAGCCCATTACAGTCCATTGGAGCCCACCATTCAGCCTTTCATTGAGTACAAGTACATTCTTTTCTAGCCATTTTCTAATTCCAACCTCCTTTGTTTGATTAAAGCATTGATTGGGTGGTTGGTCGGCTGGGAGTTAAAAAGAGAAAAATAAAAATAAACTTTTCATGCATCATGTTGTCATTTCTTTGGGGCTAAATCAAGGTCAATAATTAATTTTAACCACACATTTTAAGGATTTCACAATTTTTTAACTATACATTTTATCAATTTTTATCAAAATATGTTAAAAATTCGATTTTAATCTCCACCAAACCGAGGCTCAGTATTTAGGCACGTGAAGGGACATTTCCTCCCAGGCCTTCGAACCTAAGTGGGCCTTATAGAATATTATTATGAATATTTTGACTAAGCTTTAAAAGAAGTAATTTAAACTTACACAGATCATACACCGCGGTTTCGTTGTGGATGGTAGCAAACGTCAATTGGCATCTATTGTCTTCAAATTCATGTTTTCGCACTTTTTATTTTTAAGAAATATAATACTTACCTTTTTCAAAATTATTCATATAAGAATAAGGGTAGCCAAACATGCCTTACCCGGATAGTTTAGCTGGCACAATTTAAACCAACCCATATAGACTAATTCAAAATCCAAATTCAATGATCTCATCATTGCTTAATAATACAGTCATTTTACCCATAACTTCTGGATAACAATCACAGCACATTTCAGCCCAGATATCTATTTGGATAACATTATGATTTCCTAAAAATTTTAGGATGAAAGCCGAAGATTAACTTTTGAAATGCAAGCAATGCAACTATAATATTATCGAAACAATGACACAACCAAATGTCTACATTCGAAATTTGCATTTTTTAGTACCTTAGATCTAGAAAGAAGGGTAAATTTTTTTAAAAAAAATGACAGATTGGATCTGTAGAGGAAAAGGTAGAACATTACTCGTCGTCTTTGTATGGATACTCCTCGGGAACTTGCTTCAGAAGTTTCACCTGCAACTCAAATGCATCATCCCCTCTAAGCATATCTCGCAGCCATGTGACTTCAGTTTTCATTGACACCTGAAAAAAGAAAGTAAATTCTGTATCACCTTGGTTCGTGCTCAATATATACAAGAGGTTATTCTAACATAGTGGAGTTTTTCTATTCATCTTGATCTAGTGACATATTTCTGTCACTTCCCCCTTAGAAACCTGATCGCCCCCTTTTCTCCCAGATCTCTCCCTAATAAAGCTTTTATATCATAATAAATAGTTTTAATAGGGAGAAGTTCAACAATCAACATATTAAATGGCACATTTTACAAAAACAAATCAGATTCTCAATCATATAATGAAATAAACCAATTTATGAAAATGCATGTAGCAGATGGCCACTCCAGAAACATCATTTTTTTGGTTGAAGTTGCTTTTATTTTTGTCCAACTCACTTCCTTTTTTCTGTGAGAGTTTTTGGAAAATCCCCATGCATAGGTTTGCGATCTACATCAATTAATTGAAAGGTCCAAATGCTCAACTCTGTAATAAGTTGTTAGAATTAAAACACATTCTCAATCATATAATGAAATAACCAAATTTTTGAAGAGGCATGTAGGAGATGACAAATCCAAAAAACATCATATATAGCAAGGATAAGATGTTCATAGAGGAAAGACAGCTCACCATCTCGAGAGCCCCTCTGATAACTCCACTTAAAATGTTGCAATAATATAGACCTTGACACGTATCAGGAAGCTCAACAAAATCTACAAGAGGATTATCCTCCAATATTATACTGCAGGTTGTTCCCTCAGCATCCCAGTTGGAGACTGATGCAGTAACTCCCAGGAACATTTTGAATCCTACCTGTTCATAAGACATCTTAATAATGTCCTTAATGAACCAAACATTCCAAAATAGATGCTCAAAAGGGCAATTAATACAGAAGAAACCAATTCAAAATGCTTTAATAACATGAAACTGCGCTGCTGAACATGTTAGCCTAATATAGAGGGATAGGATGTCAAATGGAGAGGGCCAGTGAATGAATAATTAACTTGAAACTGACAGTATGTTTGCAACAACTCAATATTTCGATATGTAAGAACTTTTTCGCCCCATCTATTTCATTCTCAAAATACTACAGGAAGGGATATTCAACATTTTTTCCCAACCTAGTATACACATTGTCCAAAAGAGGCATTCAATTAAACGAAGTTACCACACCGTGGCCATATGAAGTAAGTCCTAGTACTGTATATGGGTAAAATAACCAAAATGATATTTGTTGCGGTTCAACTTTCGAATTACAAAAATAATAAAATGATCTACTAAGGAGGTAAATGCTACATTGACATAGTCATTGATGAGGATACATAAAACATTTTGGCATTCATTAAAAAAAGTGCCTATAAACTCTAAGGTGTGGAAACACATTTTTCAAGATTATCAGCTCTCAGGGCTAATTTGAGAACATATGCAGTTATTTATTCAGACAAAGTTGCTATATTGTCCTGGGTATAAAGTTCTAATGTTATCCTCTTTTTCCAGCAATGTCAAGTGTATGTTATTAACATACAATAAGATGGGTTCATAGCTCCTGTGTGTATCTTACATACAAAATCTATGTGAGCAGATTCAGCATCCTGCAAATTGGAGCAATATTACAGACCTTTCTAGACTTCAATAAGCTGTTCTCGAGGGACCAGCAATCCAATAACTCACCAACCTTCCCAGGCACGACTCGGAAGAATTTAAACATTTAAAAAAGAAAATGCCTGAATTCAGAAGTCACTTTACAGTTTAATAGCAGATGATTATGACACCAGTTGATCTAGATCGTCTTTACTTCAGAAAAGATGTAAACTCCCCTTTTAGTAACCAAAAACAGAAGTACATAACTGGGATTAGAACACTCCTATTGCATTCTTTAGCAGTCTACTTTCAAGTCATTAGTTGATTAGTAACATTTTGACCTCATATAAAACACAATGTATCTTATCATTTTCCCCCCTCAAAAATTCAATGAGATCATACTCATACTGCAATTTATCTTTACTTTTATCTCCTTCTCCAGGTTACTGATACTGAGGCCCAAAGTCTGTACCGTTCTAAAGCTACAATCCAAAATTCAGGAAAGCTGAAATTCCTAAACCTGATGCAATATGAAATTTAACAGTAACTAATCAAAACAAATAGTACGAGTACACCACCTTGGCAATGACTTCAGCTGTTTCCTTAAAATCAACACACCTCGATACATTAGATTTCGCGAGAAATTCATCCACTAGCCGGACCCCTATATTATAGCCCCTGCAATAAACACAAGTACTCGAAAGTTAAGGCATAAATACCACTTCAGGTAATCAAATAATCATGAAAAAGGAGTTTATTTGCTACGTAAATTCTCAAAATCTTTGCTTTCAATAAGAATTTTAAATCAATTAAAGAATCAATCACATTTGATCGAGCTGTTTGTTGACCTCCTCCACCTCCTCCAGATCGGTGAGAAGCTGACGCACCATAGCACCATATGTCAGAGTGAAGAGCTCCGCATTCTACAAATATTTTACAACACTAATTAACCAAGTTTACACCAAATTGAACGGTACTGCGATCAGGTCAAACAGTAAAAATTAGGGTTGATTGTTTTGAGAAATTATACTTACCACGCGTTCAACGCTAGCGAAAATAGCATCGCCGGACCTTGGAGCAACGGGAGCCATGGAGAAAATTCAGATTTCTTTTTTGCTTTACTAGCTGTGAAATTGAAGATCCGAGTGAGAACAGAGTACCGATGAAAGTGAACGCCTTTTGAAAGCGCGTGGCAGTGAACTGAAAGCGTGATGCAGTACATAAATCGCTATATATATTTGGTGCATCGCTTAGGCGACGATTTATAATTTGTTTATTATCGATCAAATTATTTTTATTCACACGAATTTAAATTAATTATAAAAAAACTCTCTCGTGTGAAAAAGGGGAAATATATGAAAATAACCTTTTCAAAATGGTTTGGATATTACATAACAATGCATCATAATATAGAACTTTTCTATTTTAGTCCTTAAAATTAAATACTGGTTAAATTTTGATTTTTTTATTAATATTTTTATTTGATTTATTTGATTTTTGTTCTCTCTAAATAGCCCCCTAATTGGTATCAGAGCCATAGAGATCATGTAAATTAAAATAAGAAAAATAGATAATTACTGGTGTTTAAAAGAAGAAAAATATAGTTATATATTTTTAAAATCTATTCATAATAAATTAAAAATAATGACTTTGATAATAATTAAAGAACTTCCTAAAGAAATAAAGGAACAAATATTAGAAAAAATAATAATAGAAAAAATAAAAGATATTTATACATATGAAAAAATTATTAATATATATGAAGATGAAGAAAATAATTTATATTATAAAGAAAAATATGAGCACAATTGATAATACACATCAAAAATTGAATAAATTACTTCTAAAACTGGATAAAATATAAGAAGAAATGAGAAATATAATGTTAATACCAGAAGGAATGAAAATACCAAATAATAGACAATTAACAAAATTAAAATGTGAAAGAGAAAAACTTGAGAGCAAATATTTTACTATAGTAAAAGAAGAATTTGTAGATCCAGAAACAACTGGGAGAAGATTAAGAAAAATAATAGATAAAAAAGAAGATAAAAAATGAAAATTAACTTATGAGTTAAAAATAAGAAAAAATTAAGATGTCAATAAGTGAATATATGGAAGAATTAAAATCATTAATAAAAATGTTAATAAATGATGTACAAGATTTGAGAAATGAAGTAAAAGAAACAAGAAACGATATAAATATATTAAAAATAAAAATTAGAGAATTAAAAGAAAATAATAAGAATAAAGATAAGAAAATAGGTAAAAAAAAAAAATTATAGAAAAAGAGATGACTCGACTAGAAAAGAAACATATAAAAAATATATATAGTAATAGAAACAAAGGTATGGATGATGAATTTAAAAAGAATATATTACCAAAAATACTAGAAGAAGAAGAAGAATTTAGAGAAAAATCATTAGGAAAATTAAAAGTAGAAAAAAAAAGATGAGTGAAGAATTAGATTTGTTAATAGAAAATTTTGATCAATTAAGTTTAACTGATATAAGTGAATACCAAGTTTTAATGAATACTTGAGGATGACCTAATCCAGCGAAAATTTCAAAACAAGAATTACATGATACAGATGAAAGCTATGCACCTATATATAATAAACCATATAGACAATTCTATAATAAAGTAAGAGATAGACAACCATCTAAAGGAAATAAATATAAAGATAGGTTTGAATTAAATGATAATTATGATAAACCAATTAATCATGGAGGAACAAAACTAAATTTAAATTGTAAAATAGATACTAAAAAAGTCTTATTAACTTGGGCAGATTCAATGATATTATTCTTTTTATATAACAAAGATGACACATGGAAAAATATTGAAAGAAGAATAGATTTCTTAATAGCATCATTTGAAGAAGATGTTAGAAATTGGTAGGAAGAATAAACAATGATACAAAAACATTAATAAAAAGAAATATACAAACAGAAATAATCAAATCAGATAGACAAGGTATGAAAAAATTAGTGGAATTTATTTTAGATGAATTTTTAGGAGAAAATTGGATAAGAAATGTTGAAGAGGAATCAATAAGAGAAAATGATAATGATAGAATAAAATTAATAAATTTAACAATATGTGATATGTGTAAAATTAAAGAATATACTTGTGAATTTAAAAATTACTATTATGTTCAATTTTATAGTAATGAAAATCAAGAAGTATACCAAGACATGTATTATAATAAGTTACCAGGTTCATGTGGAATATATTTTAAAATAGAATTTGAAAAATATATTAGAGATAATGTTGGAATACCTAAAACTTTAGGATCAAAAATAAAATTTTTATTTAAAAGACTTGCATATATATGTCAACAAAGACAATTAATGAAAAATCAGGAAAATTAACTAAAATATGTTTTGAAAATATGGAAACTCCTGTGCAATGAGGATGTAATCCTGAAAGAAGAGTTAATAAAAGAAAATATAAAAATAAAAAATTTAAAAAATTTAGAAATTTTAATAAAAAATATATAAAACTTAGAAAAATGTATTATAAAAGAAAAAATAACCCATATAAACATCAGAAAAATAAGAATTATAAAAAAAGTAAAAGTTAATGTAAATAATTGTGGAGAGATAAGTCATATAAACTCTGATTGTGATAAAAAGAAAGTTAGAATATTAAAAAAAATATTTAGAAATAAAAGATGAATTAAGTGAAATATCAGATATTGAAGAATACTATGATCAAGAAGTATATATAAGTGAAATAGAATATGAATCAGGATCTGAATAAAGAGATTGAAGAAATAGAAAGTAATAATATAAATATACAATAATATGAAAGAATAGAAGGATATAGTTTAAAAGTTACTTTTGATAATGATAAGTTTAGAAAATTACAAAAATTATCGTTAGACTTAAAATTAGGAAAATGAGAAGTCTTTGATAGAATTTGGAAAAGAAAAAGAATAGCAATAAATGAATATCACAAAATAGAAAAAACCATATATGTAAGAACAACTTATGGACAACATAAATTAAATATTTTAACAAAAGATACAGTTGATGAACTATTAACAAAGATTAGTAAAAAATAAAGTGAAAAAATCCAATATGTTTACTTAGTAAGAATACAAATAATGTTTAAATCATTATTTAGAGAAGGGATAGATTCACCCTTAACTATAACTTTACACGATGGAAAAATAATAAATTTAAAAGATAATCATTTAGGAACAATAGAAGGAAATTTAGCATATCAAAAAAATTATGTTTACATGTTATCTAAAATATTGTGTATCATTAAAAGATAGAAATTTTAATGAAATTTTAGGACTACATTTCAAGTTTCATAGAGATGATATTATGCAACCAGGTGATCAAATTATGATTATAGAATATAGAGCTTTATACACATTTACCAATTCTAATTATAGGAATATTTATTCCAATAAACCATATATTGAAGTTCATAAAGAATGTAAAGACATTAGTAAAATAATAGTACTAAATAAACAAATAAGTTTAATTTTAGAAAAATATGAATTTAGTATAACAAAAAATAAACCTGAAATAACAAAATTAAATGAAGGAGAATGTTCTAATAACATAACATTTAAGGGCGAAAAATTAATTAAAAGATCAAAATGTTTTAAAATACCTAATAAAAATTAATTAGAAGAAATCAACAACATAAAAGAAGTAAAACTGTATAGGAATGCTGGAAATATGAAAATAGAAGGAGAATATTATAATGGTAGAGAAAATATAAGTGGACCAAATATATTAATAGATACAAGAGTTAGTGAATGTCATATAACTTCAATTAGAAACAAAGGATTAATAACTCATAAAACTGAATCGTGTGTAAACTTTGATGAACAAGTACATATAACAGATTTAGAAGTTAAAGTACCAATAAAAATAGGAGGAATAGATCTTTTAGCACTATGTTACATAGATAGAAGTATGAATATAAACCCTCATATACTTTTAGAAATGAGTTTTCTAAACGGATTAGAAGATTATAATATAAAAAGAGAAGGATTATATATTGTTCATAATGGACAAACTACATTATGTAAAAAGAATTAGATGAATAATCAGATAAGTTTTCCATTAGCCGTGTATATACAAATTACTATTGTAGAAACTAATATAACAACTTGTGCTTTAATAGATATAGGAAGTGATATAACAATATTTAAAAGTTTTTTAATAAAATTATGGAATAATAATAGTAATATATAAATAACTGGTGTTACAGGAGAAAGTACTCAAATGATTAATAGTACTAATAAAATTAATATAATTCTTGGAAGTAAACAAGTAACAATAAATAAAATTTATAAATATGATAAATTAGAATGTGATATATTATTAGGAAACGATTTCATACAACAATTTCAATTTTATAAACAAAATAATTATATGATAATGCTACAAACACCTTGTGGACACTTATTAAAAAATTTTAGAGAATTTAAAACCTATAGAGTTCAGCCAGCCCAGCGTAGTGATAAATGGGAGAAAAAATCAATTCTTAATAATGAAATAAAAAATAAAAGAATATTATATAAAAAGGTTCTAAAAACAGGAATATAAATGAATATAGAAAAAATCATTGAACAATTAGAAAATGTTTATGGAGAAAATTCATTATTATTTTGGAAACCATATCACCTAAAAGTTAAAATAGGATTAACAGAAAATGTTATAATAAGAGTAAGACCAATGATGTATACAATAGAAGATACACAAGAATTTAAAAATCAGATAAAAGAATTATTAGAACAAAAATTTATTAGACCTAATAATGGACCTCATAGTAGTCCAGCTTTTATAGTTATGAAACACTCTGAACAAGTTAGAGGAAAAGTTAAAATGGTTATAAATTATAAAGAATTAAACAAATATACTAAATTTGATGGTTACTTTCTACCAAATAAAGAAGTACTAATAAATTTTGCAAAAGAAAAACAATATTATTCTAAATTTGATTGTAAATCAGAATTTTGGTAAGTAAAAATGGAAAAAGATAGTATACAATATACTGCATTTAGCACACCTCAACGAAAATATGAATGGTTAGTTATGACATTTGGTTTGAAAAAGGCACCACAAATATATCAAAGAAAGATGGATAATATATTTAAAAAAATTTAATGAATTTCTAATAGTTTATACTGATAATATATTAATATGTTTTAATAGTAAAGAGGAGCATATAAATCATTTAATCAAATTTATTAATGAATGTAAAAAAGAAGGAATTGTACTATCTAAAAAGAAACCTATAATAGAAAAAGAAGAGATAGATTTTCTTGGATTATCAATAGATAAAAGAGGGATAAAATTACAGACTCATATATCCAAAAAGATAGAAAGTTTTCCAAATAAATTAGAATCCAATGAACAAATTCAAAATTTTTTAGGACGTTTAAATTATACAAAAGGGTTTATTGAAAATCTTTCTAAGAAAAGATATAAAATTCAAGTTTTACTTAAAAAAATAAATACAAAAGGATGGAATGAAGCACATACAGAAATAGTTAAATCATTAAAAGAAGAATGTAAAAATTTACCAAAATTAAGATTACCAGATGGAAAAGATAATTTGGTTGTTAATACTGATGTCTCAGATAAATATTGGGCAGCAATATTAAAAACAGATCTTAATGAAATTTGTAAATACTCAAGTGAAACCTTTAACGAATCAGAAATAAATTATACGACTCATGAAAAAGAATTACTAGCAATTATCAGAGGAATAAAAAAGTTCTCATTGTTTTTATTATCCAAAAAATTTATTGTTGAAACTAATAATTCTCAAGTTGTAGGATTAGTCAAGATTAAGTTACCCTCAGAACCACAATACAGAAGACTTCATAGATGGCAAACTTATTTAGCATTTTATAATTTTGATATTGTCCATATTAAAGGAGTTAATAATTTTCTTGCAGATTTTCTCAGCAGAAACATAGAATTTTTTTGATGGATAAAGTCAAGGTCATGGAGTTATACCAATCTATTATACATATACAAGAAATGACAAATTTTCTTAAAGAAGAATTTGAAGATATAAGTTCTGGAGCAACCCAGATTTCAGAGATGTTTAACTCAAATATGAAAATATTGTTGAATATCACTACCGAGCATCATAAATATGCCATTAAACTCAAAAATCAAGTTGATGCTATTGCAGCACAACTAAAAAATATATTGTTTGAAACAGATATACCAAAGAGCTCAAAAAATGAGTTTTTCAAATCAATACCAAACAGGGACAATTGGAAACAGCAGTGGATCCAGACGTGACAACATACCACTGATAATAAAGGAAATTCCTTTTTTGTATCATCAACTAAGAAAGTTATGATACATGGAGATAAAAGAGATACCAAAACAATCAACATCATAGACCAAGAAGATAAAATCCCTTTAGATCCAAACGAAGAAAAATATGCCGAAATAGTCAAAATCGCTTATGAAATAAAAATAAGTGATTCATATTTCATTTCTTCGGAAAATAATGTTTACCCCATAATAACAGCCATGGAAAGAGGTGACCCTTCATCTATAAAAATCATGACAGACTGTGGATTCATGGATTTGATTTATCCAGGAAAATTTTTTATTGAAATTTCAAAATTTGATGACATATTCATTAAAGAAGTATCAAGATTTGCCAAGAGAAGGAAGATATTTTTAAAAGTTTATTCAATCAATCCAGAATATGATGGAGTTGTTTACTATTAAGTTGAATACATAATCTTAATTGGATATGTTGCAGTCAATTTCCAAATTGATGTTACGGAGAATAATAGAAAAGTCCCAACAGTGACAAAATCATGGATCAGGCATAGAAGAGCACTTGGAATTCTCGTGCCTGTGCCAATATGAAAACTAGACGTTGGTATTCAATGGAGGATATGCAAAATCAAAAATTTTAAAAGACTATATTACAAGATTTGATATACATCAATTTCCAGGATGTCATGCCACTATAAAAAAATTCTGCCAGCCAAGGGAGTGCTCCAACTGCATATGAAGAAATGAAAGAAGAAGACAAAGCACATTTTGACAAAGGTGTATGAAGGACAATAATATTACATGTAAAGACATTAAAGATAAAGAGCAATAATAGAAAAATACGCTTTTTAGATAGAAAAGTTGAACTAACATGTGAATATGTAGGCCCAAGGAAGAAAATAGAGAGGCAAGAGTGCCTTTGTTAATGTAATCAATGATGTAATAGAGTCTCATAAACTTGTTTAAATAGAGACATTACCATAGTAAGATCTCATCTCATCTTATCTTGAATTCTCGAGTTGTAAGCAAGAGCTCATTCTCAGTTGGAAAAATCAGTTTTTTCTGGAAATCCCTTCATACCAAATAAAAGTCTTGTATCAATCCTGATAGAAATAAAATTTCAATATTTTAATATCAATATGAATGTCTAAATCTTTTTCCCATAGATTTTTGAAAGATCTAATAGAAAATTTCCTTATTATTTTAACAAAAAGAGAGTTTTTTTTAACAGAAGTTTAGAATTTTATTCTTTAGAAGTTGATGTAGTGAGAGCAAGTAGCTGAAATAGTAACAATTCCGTGAAGACAGGAGGCCGTTGAAGGAAGCAATTTACAAATTTAGAGTTCGAAGGTCACTTGATTCTGAGAATACAAGTCTAGATCAAACCTAAGGTAAAACTATTAAACTTTTGCTAAAATTAGAATGAATCTTTTTAAGATCTTAAAAGAATCGTAGGGACAATTGCATGATGATTATTTTGATAAATGCCAGGATATACAGTTGAAGGATTAGATAATTTATTAGAAAAAATGTTAGAAGAAATAAAGAATATTATATCTCAATTAAAAAATACAAATTTACCATTTGAAGAATATAGTACTTTAATTAGAAAATATGAGATGAATGTTGCAAATTATTCTTATTTATTAGATCATAGAATGATTTTATATTCAAATATCCAAAATAGAGTAAACCGAGGATAAAATGTTTAAAAGATTAGGACATATGTTGCAACATAGAAAGAATCATTTCATTAAGGATAATATAGACATTTTCATAAAAATGAATAGTAACATGTCAAATAGAAAAATCTCTCGTGAAAAAGATTATAAATTTCACAATGAATGTTATGAAGTCATTTGCATTGTTGCATTGAGCCACATGACTCTGACCTTTATCACAATTGAGACCATATCTATCGTCTCGATTTACATTTTGACATATTAAAATTGTAGTGCATTGTCATGACTGTGCCCTGCTAGAAGTCCAAGGCCCATGTGGCCCTGGATGAGGAGACTTATTTGTCATGATTTTATTGCAATGACAACAAAATTTGGACAATGTTCAAGAAATTAATTAATTTCAGTCACGATCATTAAATAATATCAATTTTACCATCAATGATAAACAATTTAAGTTTGTAAGTTGTCTATGACAAATTTAAGTTTGCTAAAAGTTGATAAAAGCTGATGAGTCTCATAAACGGAATAAGAAATGTATGAATAAAAATGAAATTTCATCAATTTTTTAACAAACAAAAGATTTAACATATAAGCGATTAGTAAACTCCATAATATTTGCACTCGTGTGAATTCTATATTTTGTCTTTCAAAAACTCGAGATGTTATTATAAAAGGGTTAGCAGAATTGCATCTGCATAGTTCATCTTTAACTACATGCAATTAAGTTGCTCAACTTCGATTATTTGCAAATCCGACCATTCCATGCTATCGGCATATTAAATTAATTGGATTGCGATGTTAAATTTAGGAACATGGTTAACATAGTGGATTACATGTGCATTGAAAGTAATTGAAGTTCAATGAAAAGTTAAGCCCTTATTCGGTAGAATTAAAAAAATATATTTTAATCTAAATTAAAGTCAACAATTAATTTTAACTTTATATTTTATAAGACACATAATTTTTCAACTACATTTCATTAACTTTTATCAAATTCTAATTTTAACCTCTCCAACAAATAGGGGCTAAATTTGGACGACCCAATTGAAATTTAATATAAGATTTTAGTGATTAAAAAAAATTACTTAAATTTGTACACAAATCAAAATTGTATGACTTGATTGCACAAAATTACATATTGATGATCCAAACACGATCAAAGTTCAATGTCTCACATTGCATTATACTTATGAGCCCACAAAAAATTAAGGGAAGATAGTTGTAAACATCCGAAGTTTTCTTGAGTGTAGCTAAACTCATAACGAGTCGAGCTACCACTAATCTTGATATTTTCTCTATTTCTATTTTTATTTTTTTTAAATTTCCATACAAATCACGTCTATTATTCACTAATGTATTTATCATATTGGCATTGCCATATAGATTGTAAAAGTTCTGCAACAAATAAAACCACAATTTATTTGATGAGCTAACATTGTCTTGTTTGTTTACATTATGCAAATTGCTTATTTTCAAGCATGATCCTTATTTCCATCTAACAAAAGAAAAAAAAACAAAAAATATTACTAGAAACCGGTTCTTCATTCATCCCCCTTTTGTGGAAGTTTCCTTTGCCCGGAGGTTCCTTGTACCGCTCCTTGACGGATTCTACTTCGGAATCGCCCACGGTGGCCTCCTCGACGCCATCTTGCGCCTCCTCTACCGTCTGACTAGTAACCTCTCGTCGGCTTTTCTCTTCGCCCACTCTTTTGAATTCCTCAGCTGTCGACGGAGCTCTCTCCTCGGTGCCATGCCAGTGGCCGAATCTCTAATGATTCCAAACAATTTACCATAAATATTCATAAAACTCAAACTTGAACATGACAAAAATCTTTTAGGGTTAAGTAATCAAGTTTTCATTAAGTTGGCTTACGATATATCAAAAACAGCATAAGAAGAATAAAAAATAATTTGGAACAACTAATAAGCAGACTAATAAGAAGCATAAAATTGAATTATAATTCAAATGAAAAGTGCTTTTAATCTAAAGATAATTACAAGTAAGTAATTACCCTTATGTTCATGGGCACATATGCAGTGAGGCGTTTCATTTTTGATGCCTGTGAGGAAGTGTAGAGGGATAAAATATGGCTTCCCATGATTTTCATTTTCAGTGCGAAAAAAGGAAAGAAAAACTATGTTAAAAGAGTTGAAGGAAGAAGAAGACGATTTAAAATGGATAAAAATTGGATTTACATATCAGTTTTGGGGTATCCTAGACACGTGGCAGCCCCACAGAGTTGCTGTCTCTTGTCCATGCAAATATGATTTTTTTTTTCATCAGTTAATGAATTAGTGGAGCCATCTTTGACTAGACGCTTGCATAAAATATCTCTTTCCACCATTTTTAAATTTGACCTGCTGCCCTCCTGATGAAGATGAAATATGATGAATTATTGTATTTGGCCGGGGTCAAGGCCGGCATGTGATTGTCGGGGCTCGAGGCGAAGTCCAAAAATTAAGCCTTCAAAATCAACATAAATGTAAAATTTAGCGATCTATTATGCAATATATTGTTAACTTAAAATTTAAGATTAAAATAACAAACAAATATCTCAATCATTTTACAATTAATGAAAAAACTAATTTTCTTTTCCTTTTCCTTCTTTTAATATAATAATAAAAAAAAACTTTGGACCAACATAGACCCTTTGTGGTTTTGGGCCTGAGGCACAGGCAAATGGATCAGCCCTGGCCGGGGCCCAAGAAGCACGGATCAAATATGATTTGTATTTGATGATTTATATTTGGGTTGTGCTAGATCGATGCCACATCGTTCTCTTGCTCACGGTCATGTTCGAACAACTTTTTCCTTTATAATTTAATTGCTTTTATTTTGAAAATCTACACGGAATGGTTAATAACTTTGGACTTGAAATTTTAGGGGTATTTCTTGTATCTTCGATTTTTCATTGGGTCAAAAAAAAAGTTCTTCAAGTAAACGACAATGGGAGATTGTCTTTAGACTTATTAGAATTGGTATTCTATCAAATTTGAGCTATCAAATGTGGTTCAAGTAATGAAAGATGTTTTCCTTTATTTACAGCTAAAAAGTTGTTCTAACGAGATAACAGGTAACAATATGGTGTAAGATTGAGGATGAATTTTCATCAACTCAAAGAGAATGATACAAAAAA